GTGTTTGGAACACTCCTGAGGCACGACAAGGCTCCCTGAACTGCCTGACTATCGCTGTCCCTGAGGAAGGGTTTCACCGAGATCCAGTCCACTACCTGGGTATTGGAACTGATCCTTTCAAGAAACTTATTGGAACTCGTCAACCAATTGGGTGGGGTCACTTAAATCGGTGGTCTTGGGGAAGGGAAAGCCTTTGGGCCAGGGGTACATGCAAGGGAGGCAACAGAAACCTGGTTCAGAACCCGCCACAATCAATGGCTCGAGAGTAATACGGGCCGTAGATGGGGGTTCAGCATCTTCGTGGGTACCACCGGCCGGGGCAGGACCAGAGATATCATCGGGATGTTGTTCAGACGTTGTCAACTTGAACTTCTCAATGACGGAACCAGGAGCCAGGGCCGTGAAGTGGGAACGAGCCCAACGAAAGGGAATCTTGGCAGGGACGACCTCACCAATCTTGTCAGAGAGATTACCAATGAGCCATGTGTGACCAGCCGGGTCGACAAAGGGCTGCGGGTTGGCAAACAAGACCGGCTTGTTGTCAACAATGATCATAAACTGATCATAGTGGCGGGTATCCGCCAAGAGAGCATCACGAACGGGCTGGGTTGTTCCTCGGTTAAAGATCATCGGCGTCAAGTGGTCAGAAGTGGGGGGTCCCGAATGAGACGAAGAAAGACGTTGGTCAGTGGCATTCTTTCCCCTGGCAACAAGGGCACGAACAGCTTTGGCGTGGGCAAATATGGTCAAAGTAGGTAGGACAAACAACGGTGGCGGCTGTGTGGGCAACGAACGGGGCAAGTGAAGCTGGAAGCAACAGGGAAAAAAGCAGGTCACAATTAGTATATCTGAGTAGACTGGGTCTAGATACTAATTGTGAGCTAAGTGAAGTTCGAACAAATTCAACCAGCACACAACTAGATTGGACGCCCAGCCTAGGATTGGCTACGAAGGTACAAACTGCAGTCCAATACAAGTCAGTGCAAAACATACGTGGTCCTGGCGGGTGGACGATGTCACACTACCCAAAGGGGCTGCAGAGCGATAAAACAGGGGTAGATAAACTGTATCCTGAGTTGAGGAGGGGGTGGGGGTTGCAGATGGAAGAGTTTTGGTAGGAAAGGGGGACGAAAGGGGCCCAAAAGGGGCGGGGATGCATACGGATGTAGGATAGGTACTAAGTGTTCGTCAAGTCAAATGCAGAGAGGAAGAAACGGGAAATGGGGGGATCACAGCACCAAAATTGGGAAGGCTAAGGGGTAGAGGATACCGTTCAAGGGAACAATCTACAAACGTCAAGGTGACGAGAAAGAGAGAGGGGAAGCTGGGGCTCGGGAAAGATATGGAGAATCACAAGCTGGCATTAGGATTGGCTAGAGCCAGATTGGGTGTCAGATCAAGTAGAAAACAAGGGTACAGGTAGGAAACAAGAGGAGTGGGCCACAGCACCAATGTAGGTTGTATACTAGACTAATGGTAGGGAGATTTCGGGAAACGAGAAAAAAACCCGGGGAACAACTAAAGCTGATCTTGGAAGATAGAGCGAACAAGTCCTAGCCAATAAGCAGTCAAAACCGGCGCAGAAAGCGATGTAAAATGAGGTCAGACTGTACTGAAGAAATTGGGACCAAAGGTCCTAATGCGGTTCCGAAAGACTTAAGGACAGCAGGTGTCACAATTTGCGGCAAAAATTATACTGAGTCCCAAACGGGATAGGCCAAAAGCTGTGCCAATCTGTGAATTTTTAATGGACACGATCCAAGTGACAATGGTGGTCAAGACGACCGGGAAAGGAGACGACGGAACGGGTCCTAAGGTAATATTTTGCGAGGGCAAAGGGTACCTAGGGCTAAATATAGCACCAGGTGTAAGGAGTAATGGTCAATGAGGGGGCGGACCAGGCCCCAATAAGGATAGTAGTCAATAGGAGGGCAGTCATGGTCAAAGACCAATGACGCGATACAAAAAAAAGGTATCCATTAAATGGAGGGACCATAAAGGGGAATAATAGGGCCAACAAGGCCGGTGGTCGCATTAGGCGAAACCACTATAGGTAGTAATCAAATGATTAAAGAAAGGAAAAAAGGAAAACCGAGTAAAAGTCGGATCCAAAGAACGAGTCTACCAATAACAAAGTATGGATAATAGACAAAGGGAAAAACCCAGGGACTCGGGCAAAGGGGGTGCCCGAGACAAAGAAAAAGCGAAGCACACCATTGCGGTGTGGTAGTTGGTTAGGAACCAACAGTAGATGGTGTTGGCCATAAGGCAACACCATGGCCATTTGCAGATCCATCAACAACCAAAGTGTGGTCTTTGGTTGCCTGGGTCTACCATCTGCCAGCTATGAGTTGAGCGGGTGATGTCAGATTCCAGACTGACCAGGCAACTGGGACTCATCCCCTTTGCTGGTTTGCCTGGAGTCTCACCTTCAATGGAAGCAGGCTGTAAACACGCCACCGGTACATGCACTGCACAGCGCCCTGCTACTGGTAGCGTGTACCGAACTGGAGGGGCTCCGCTGACGTCATGCTGATTCGGAACTTTCTTGTTGTACCTTTCGGCGAGACTCGCACGACTCGTGTTCGTTTGACTCGCGTGCGAGTCTGTGCGAGTCTAATTGCGAGTCTGTGCGAGTCTATGCGAGTGCTTGCGAGTCTCTTGATTTCGATTACAGTTAAAGTCGGGTTTTTTGCGAGTCTACGCGAGTTAAATGCAAGCTGACACGAGTAGTACGAGTCAAGTTGCGAGTCTTGGGCTGTAATTTCCATAGGAACAAATGAAGCCTCGCCAATAGTGACGTCAGCGGAGCCCCTCCAGGTCCTGGGAAGTAGGTTATGGTATGGTACTAGTACTCTCGTAGTAACTCATCTATTCGGTTTCGTTAGTATTGTAGCACTCTAGTATCACAACAACTCTCTTTGTGTAGCTTTAGGTGTATTGTGCGGAAGCTATTAAAGATCTTGTCAGCCCCGATCTGCATTGCGTGACAACGTTGTTTCCTTTCGCCCTACTTGTTCGTTCGTTTGATTGTATGATTCGATTCGTGCAATGACGCTGCTTTGCTGCCACTGGCAGTGTCCAGTGGTTCCGAGCAAGCTAGCTAGTAGCTTGCTTGTAGTGTGTGCTGTATGTGACGCTCTGCTTTGCTTCCTTTAAGCTTCTTGACGGCAAATAGCTAGCTTCTCCTTCCTCATCCATGTCCACCACCGTACATAAACCCCTGTGGTGGTGGAGGGGAAGCCCCAGCTGCGGGGTTGTAAACAGCGCCTCGTCCGGGGCTGTAGTATGCGTGCGGACCACCCCATCCCATACCACCCGGGTCGGGTCCTACAGCCATTTGTGGAGGAGGGTAGTAACCGCCGTAAAACCCAACCATGTGTGGATCGTAGCCATGTTGTTCTGTGGAAGGGAAGAGCCGTAGCAGAAAGGGTGAGCGGCTAGCTAGCTAGTGGGACGCCTAATTACACCAGGCCAAGATCGATCGATCAATCGATTGGATGTGACTTACCAAATCCATTTGGATGTGCCCCGTACTCGGCTGAAGCCGCGTATGCCTCTCCGGAATAAGCATTGGCTGGCATCATCATACCATAAGGAACTCTCCCAGGCTCAACCCCCGTTCCACGGTATCCACCGTACGGCGGAGCCATTGGTACTGGCACCATGCCATTGCTGTCTTCCTGACCGTAGCCCATGGCATATGGCGGATGATAGCCAGGTGCGGCTCCAGGACTTTTGGGTCCACCCGTGTCGCCATCTTCCTGTTCTGCGTGGTGATGATGATGATGATTGTTGGAGGCCATGTACTGCGGCTGTGGGTTGGCATTCTCCGACGAGTCGACGGCAGCGGCTACTGGTGAGGCAGCAGCAGAATCATGGAGTTGCGGCTCCTGATGCTCCGGAGAATCTAACCGCTGCAACGCAATGTCTTCCCGTTTCTTGCGCACAGCTTTGAGTTCGTCATCAGCGTTTTGCCTCCAAATAGCGATTGCACTCTTGTATTGTTGTCTGAGTTCAAATTCCTTGTCAATGTGTATCTTTCGCTCCTCCTCGGGGGCTTCCTTCCACATCTTGGCCAAGATTCGGGAGACTTCTGCATTCCCAATCTCAGGATTCTGTGCTTTCACCGCAGCCCGTTTGGAGTTGGAGTACGATAGGAAAGCAGACATGGGGCGTTTGGGAGCACTGCCGCGATGTAACGGAGAAAGAGAAGGTCAGATACAGTAGAGTGCAGTGCGTCGCAGTCAACTGGTGCATCACCCCCATGAACCAGACTTACTTGGGATCCTTCTGAGACCTCGCCTTGGTTGCGGGCACCTTCCAGGGTCCGGTGTACATGGTCTTTTCTACTTCGTATCGAGCCTTGTCACGGCGAGCCATTTCCTCCCTGCACAATCAAACAAACACACAGCAAGACGTGGGTGAGTCGAGGGTACGCTACCGGTAGCCACCAGCCACCACACAGTAAAGTAAACACGTACCATTCCTCCCTCTCGTCCGGAGGGAGATCCTTCCAAGCTTGCGAGACCATCTTGGCGACATCCGTCGTCTGAAGCTTCTCGCAATGCTCCTGCCGGATGGTCTTGTGCTTCTCGGTGGAAAAGAACATGTACGCAGACTTGAACCGCCGGGGCGCCTGAGGTGCCTTTTTGAACTTGGTGCTCTGTTCCTTCTTGGCCATGGTGCGATCGATCTATGGTACTGTACATGCAAGGTGAAGGATCTCTGGCTTGCTACCGGTAGCTATCTAGGGTCCTGTTGGAAGCATGGCAATGTGTGTGAGAAAGAGATGAGATCAATGCAGGAAGGAGGTATGATGTGAGAAACCAGAAGGCTTCGGTGATGAGGATCGCTGCAACACCAAAATCAAGAACCCGGCCGTTAAGCTCGGTGAAAACAACCACTGTTTGGTAAAAAGGGCAAAAGCCACTGCATGTACAATGCCACCACCATTTCTTCCACCTACATACACAAGAAGGCCACGATGGATCCTTGCAACACAGTTGGAAGAAAGAGCAACACACACCACCCGCGTAACCCCAACTTAGTCTTGGGAAAGATTAACCACGTTTCACACCACTCACCATTAGCAGACCAATACAAGAATATCTCAACGAAGGGACGGCACAAGGCAACGACCAGGGCTCTCTTCTCTGTTGTTCAGTTCAGTTACAGTAGTAACCACAGCAACAATGGACTTCAGCTTGATCGAGAGACAACCAGAATGCAAAAGGACTTCACAGGAGTTGATCGCTCCAAATGAATATGGGTGAGCCTGCTTGGCTTGGTTGTTTTGCGATCTTTTCAAGGAGCGCTCGTCGAAGCCTCAAGTCTTCGACCATAATATTCCATGGCGGTTCCAAACGTTTTAACCACCCACAACCCACAGACAGATTGCACTACGTACCGGTAGCCCAGCAGAACACCTTCCCCGTCTGACGCAAGTATGCAGGTCGTCAAAACTTTTGCAGTGTCGAACCATCCCCTTGCTCCTTGCTGCACGGGCAATATCGATTTTACACAACGTTGTCGCGCTAACCAAACAGTCGAAATCCCTTTTACAATCTGGGTGGCTTACGCTAAATTCAAAACTCAATAATAAGAAAGCTTTTATTTGGAGCTTTCTTACCCGTCACCCCTATTTTGCTACTGCTGATATCCTTTCTATAACAAAACAAGCCACTTTCAGTGTAGAAGACTTTTCTGATTTTAGAAGCTTCTAGCTAGATCCAACAGGTTAGTGTTTGGATACACCCAGTCCCCTTGGACCTTTTGGTCCAACTTGCTCAGGACTGAACTCTTAACTGGTTTGGATCAAGTAAAATGGAGATCACCGTCTCGAGAAAATTTTGCTGATTTATTAGGCACAGGTTGGAGCATTTTCTTGGTGTCATACTAATACTGCAGTAGAATTTCTTGTGCTTTGATGTCTAACTACTGGGAAGTTTTCTTACACAAGTCTGTGATTATTTCACTATCAAAAGATTCTTATTGGTTCTGAAATCCAATTGCTTGCTTTCTAGTAGTATCATAGTTTCTTAAATTCAGGTTAAAAGTGTACCTAACTACTACTTGAAACTGTACTATGGTGGTCAAGGGCTTAAAACACAATCCGACAAATCTGTTGAATCGACTTAAGCCGTCATCTCGTGCGTAAATGCTTTTTAAAATGCTACAGAGTTCTCAGGGACACAAAGAATTACTATTCCTTGTTCTATGCTTTAACAAACCAGAACTTTAGAAGCGATCAAAATGAGTACAATGAATCCTACAGTGCACTTCTGGTTGAGAATCAACGAACATTCGAATATTTCGTGGACGTGGACTGAGTCAGAGTCGAGTCGAGTCGAGTCGAGTCACTCGACTGAATTGTTCCTGATTGAATAATTCGATTCGATTAATCATTCGATTCGATTCTATTCGAGAATATGGCGAGATAGGGTTGGGGCTCTCTACGGGGCGGCAAGGCTTTCCATACGAGATACCATGCTGGACCCGCAATAAAGGTGACATTTCTCTCCCTGGACCATCCACTCCGTAGCAGGCAAAGGAATTCCATCGCTTGCCTCCGTGGTCTTTTTGGCACCAGCCAAGAGCTTGCATGGCTCCACCCGTGTAAAACTAACTCCAACAACACTCCAACTCCCAGTATGATGCTGCTGTCGCCCTGTCCTATTAGCTTGGCACCTCTAGAGCTAGAGCTCCGACTTGTTTGGCACCCCTCCCGCCTACAGCCGATGCCGCCTTGGCCTCTATGATGGCAGCCATCAGCCACAGCAGCGGACTCGACAAACCACAAAGCCCCAGGCCCCAATCACCAAAGCATTGCTATTGAGGAAGCTATTGAGGAACTGGTTAGCAAGCTATTTGGCTTGCCTTCGAACTACGCTGCAACACGCTCACCGAGAAACGAGGAAGCAACGTATTCCTACTGCACAAATCGGACATGCTGGCTAGCTAGCACTCGAGCGAGGCAGTTTCGAATAGGAATTGGCGCTCGCCTTATTTAGCCTCCCCGTTCAACTTCATGTTTGTACTGTAGATCTAGACTGCCTCCTCCTTGTTCGATGCCTTCTTACCGTCTGACGCCTCCCGTCTCGTGCTATGAAGCTGTGAGTCACTGTAGTCTACCGTGCGGACGGTGTCTGTGGGCAAGCCAGAAATCTTTTCCTCTTCGACCTTATTCTTTTTGTCGGATCTTCGGTCAGCTTGGGTTCTTTGGGCCAACTGGCTAACTGGCCACGTAGTACTGCCTCCAGCTAGCTGGCTGGACAGATAGTTAGCTTGCATCAACACCTCAGCGCTACTCTGCGGTATCGCATCTTGGTACGTACTACTGATGCCGACAAAGCTCATGCTTGGTTCATCGTCTATCCTCGGCTCCCGTGACGTTTCATGGTTCGGTTGGTTCTGCTGGCGAAAGATAGAAAGTGCTTTGGGCCGTCTAGTCGAGTGAGTCCAAACCACAGGTCATCGGTGACTCCTACCAAGAAGACCTTCCCCTTTCCACAAGATGCAAAGCCAAAAGAGCCAGTCGCACGTGTCCTTAAAACTACATGTCACACCATTCAGTACCAGCGGCTACTGCAGGGAATTATTGACAAAATTTGCGGAGCCAATCAAATCTGTTTGGACTTCAAAGGGTGGGAAAGGTCAACATTCTTTCTTTTTGTGTACTTAGCGTATACCTTGGTATTAAGATACTTACTAATTTGACTCACTGTGAGCATCCAGAAGCCAGCATGTCTAGCTATGTAGACCAAGACTCTGGAGTTGGGGAATTAAGGCATTTTAAAACTCTAAATATTGTCAATTACGGTGATGGTTCAGACATTTTGAAAGGACTCAAAACTATCAATTTGTCAATGTTAATCAACATTAATCAAATAATTTGATCAAATCTGGACAATTTGAATCAATTTGTCAAGTTGAGTGAAAATATCGAAATTGTCAATCTCAGATTGATCAATGAGACTCGAGACTCGAATTGACTCGACTCGTCACTCGACTCAAGACTCAAGAAAGCCTGGTAGCAGCTGTCAAGAACTAAGTGTGTCGAGGATAGGCACCAGTGCTATTTGTAGTACGTTTTCTTAATCTTAAATTAGCTCACAATTTGTGCACCTGGACAATTTGCTAGCAAAATAGAAACAGGTGTGGTGGCACCAACCACCATGGCCAGCTGCTGCTGGGCAGCATGGCAACAGGAGTAGAGTAGAGTACTCCCATGGATGGGAGACTGCAATGCAACAACAGAAAGAGTCAGGAAAAGCACCATTTTGAGCCAAAAAGTGAGACCTCCATTTTCATTCAATCTTCCAACATACTACGGCGACTTCTCCTTCCCTTCCAGCCGTACCTCCTGCGCAAAACACTCCTCCAGCTTCAACCTCCCTCATTGTCACCAGTACACAACACAAATAACACCATAAGCGAAAGCGCTCCTCCAAGACACACCTCCATGGTCAAAAAGGCAACAACGAGGAAAGCATCCTCATTCTTCCATGCTCTTCCACGCGACCTTCTTTGACACCATAAGTGACCTCCACTGACACACCCGAAGCAACTGTCAACCTCCGTACAGTATCCTCCATACAAAAAGGTGATGTTCTGACTGACACATTGACTGGTTATTACACCTACAGCACGTTCCATACCAAAATCGGTGACGTTCCGGCTGGAACCTTTACTGGTTACTTGACTGGTAAGAATGTACAAGCGGCACCCAATGATTTAACACGTTTCAGTCTTGCGGGACGTTTTGTGACGTTCCGTGATGTTTTGTGACCTTCCGCGATGTTTTCAGAGTGTTCTCGTGACGTTTCAAGTTTCCAGTGAGAACACTAAAGGTCACCTCCACGTTAATTCCTACGTGGCACCAGTACTGAGCGAGATTTAAAAGATTTTCCATCCTCCTCGAGTCAACTTCCTCCCTCTCATAAATCTAAATTCCAGGATACCAAACAGGACTTATTGTTGAGTCGCCCCAGGACACTGCCTCTATTTATAAGCGAATTGTCCACCGGCAACTAAAGACTATAGGCCCTCTGACACTTAACTCTTCTTTAAGGCAACTATCTTCTAACCGATGCGACTCCTGTGCAGCTTCGAAAACGATTACCGGTACGCATACCTTGACCGCAACTTCTACCTCTCGCGCGACTGCAAAGGCAAGAAGATCAGAACCAAGGTAAAGTTCACGACCAAGTCTAGCGAGTACGACCGCGACCAGCTCACCTACAAGGTGACTCGGAACGCAGTATTGGTAGTGCAGTACTGCAAGTGCCCGACTTGGGAAGAAAACGGATACTCGATCGCACGTCCGACAAGGACTGGGCGAAAATTCTCCCAGGAACTTTCGTCTATACAGCAGAAGCCTCACGTCCAGGACCGATTCATCGTTTTGTTTGCCCCTGATCACATCCATCGTTCAGAAAAACCCGGTGTGATTTTAAGTGACGGCCAAAATCCGGGAGTGCCCAAATATTCATTGCAGGACCGCGACGAAATTTACGGACTAGAGAACAGGTTCTACACTGGTTTGTCCCCACGAGACCTTGACGATATTGCCGTTGGATTGGCTCCAGATGTCGATTGGGTCCAGGCAGGTGAAAACCACGAACCCGAAGAACCCGAAACCGAAACCGAAGACGCTCCTGAAGAAGAAGCCCAAGTGATCGAAGTCGAAGTCAACGAATCGAATCCGGAACAGCGTCAAGTGATTGTGTATTTGCCTGATTCCGACTCTGAATAGGCGTGATTGAATAACGAGAACATTAGGGTAGTATAACTTAATTCTTTTCTTCCAACCTCCAACCAACAACTTCCAAACATGGCGAGCGTGATGACTGACCGAGAAGCTCCAGTGCCATACATCCGAACAACCACCTTTAAGGCGGATGAAGTGAAGTTCGAGTATGAGCAAGCAAAGGCAAGCATAAAGAAAATCGAAAAGAAAGACCAGAACGATAAGCTTGTCGAGACAACAACTGAGACAACAACCGCAAAGGCATCTCGAAAAGTGTACCTGAAGACGTATGGACACACAAGTGAAGAAGACGCAGAACATGCCTTCGAGGCATTAGAAAAATTACAGACGGAACTCGAAGCCGAGTTCAAGGTCGTCGAGACCAACAAAGCCAACGATGCAACCCTGTTGTTTAAAGCAACAAAGAAGATCTTTACAGGATCAGCTTTGACAGAATGGAACAACATAGTGGACGTAACAAAGACAGATTGGGAAGCATACAAGACGACAATGGCGAAGTTCATGTGTACGGTAGTGCTGAAAGATGACGCGTACAATGAGCAAACAAACTACATGAGAGAAAGAATCAAGCCGATGGGTTTGACTACAAAGCAGTGGTGGCTGCGATTGCAGACGATGAATCGATACTTGAAGTTCTTTATTAAGGACATGAATGCTTTGAAACGACACTGCGGCGGCGGCGTTAACTTCAAAGATTGGTGGAACGAAGGTGGCTTAAGTGACACCGAATTGAGACGGATTGTGACGACAAGAGTCCCATTGG